AACCGGCCAAAAAGAGTCGGGCCCCGATGGGGACCCACCGCCCTGACACCCCCTCCCGGGGTACCGGCCATCGCTCCGCGGCGGAGTCCCCCCCCTCGCCCCTCCCTTCGCCTCCGGTAACCGGTACCGGGCTCGGTTCGGCGGCGTTCGGCTCTTTCCGGACGCGCCGCGCAGCCGCCTCCAAATATGGAATGCGGCCACGCCCCCCTTCGGCCAAATATGGAGCGAGGCCACGCCCCCCTCCGCGTGTTTACAGTGAGTTGAGGGGGCGTGGCCACGGCGCCGAGCCCCGCCTAATATGGAGCGTGACCCCGCCCCCTGGGCGTTGTGCCCGCCCACCCCCAGTAGGGATACGCCCCCTGTATGTCTATTTATGGAAGGCCACGCCCATTTGGGCTGCTGGGGGCGTGTCCTGGCGGCAGGCCGGGCGGAGAGAGAGCGGGCTGCGCCTCGAAGGTGCCAGCAATGGAGGGAGGCGGAGGGGGGGGGACGGGACGGTAGGGGGGAGGCTGGCACGGTACGGGGGGTGCTGGCCCGGCATCGCAGGGCTGGTAGCCCAGTGGCTACCGCAGGGGAGTGTTCCAGCATCATCCCGAGGATGTGGCTGGTGCTCAAAGGTCTCCCATGGGGATGCTCGGGGTCCCCCATGGTGATGCTCAGGGTCCCCCATGGGGATGCTCGGGGTCCCCCCCAGGGATGATCGGGGTCCCCCATGGGGATGCTCAGGGTTCCCCCCGGGGATGCTCGGGTCCCCCCCAGGGATGCCCAGGGTCCCCTATGGGGCTGCTTGGGGTCCCCCCCAGGGATGCTCGGGGTCCCCCCGGGGATGCTCAGCCCCCTGCGTGAGCTGGAGCCCTTCGAACAACCTCCTCGGCCACGGCAGGGCTGGGGAGAGGGGGCCAAGGAGATGCCAGCAGGGACACACCACCTGCTGCGTGGGCACAGCCAGGAGAATGGCAAAGCCCAGGGCCAGGCCAGACCAGCAACCGCAGAAACCACGTCAATAAAAGTCAGGAATATTTATTAAATATCAAAAAAAGCTACATGTTTTGGGTAGAGACCCCCTCCTCACACCGGGCTGTCACGCAAACCCTGGTGAATTCTGGCTCTGGCTCTGCGGCCAAGCAGCTGCCCCGACAGCCGGGCTCAGCCCAGCCCCGCCGCCGCTCCCCGTCACGCCTTGGCCCGCTCGGCTCCGTCGTCGTTGCTGGCTGCGGGCTGCTCCACCGCCGGCCCCATCTGGATGGGCACGTTCCTCTCAGGGGCGGCCGGCAGGGCCAGCCGGGGGGCTTCGATGCGCAGCTGCCCCTCCTTGGACAGGGAGCACGTCAGAGCCTCGGCGTCCACCTCCTCGGGCACGTCCCACTCCCTCTTCAGCACTTCATACTTGTAGGAGAAGGAGCCCTTGTCGTCCGTGCTCTGCGTCTCCTTCTGCCCCACCAACACCACCTTCCTGCCCACCACCTTCACCGACAGCTGCTCGGGAGTGAAGTCCTTCACGTCCTGGCAGACGGAGAAACCTTCCCCGGAGCTTTGGGTCAGGGCCGCGCTGGTGCTCGGGGCTCTCTCGGAGGTGATCCCCATCCGGCTGGAGCTGCTCCCACTGGTGAGGAACTGCTCGAAGCTGCTCATGAACTCCCGTGCCCTCTCCATCTCCAGCCTCAGCTCTCGCTCCAGCTCGGCGAAGAGGGTGCCTGGATGTGGCCAGAGGGTGCGGACGGGTCCCAGCCACGGGAATAGGGAGCTGGAGGTGGGAGGCATGAAGTGCAGGCGGCAAAGCATCTCTGTGTGCTCCTGGAGTGTGCTCCCGGTGTGTGCGTGTGCTCCCGGTGTGTGCTCCCGGTGTGTGCGTGTGCTCCCGGTGCTTCTGCGGCTCCGCTGGGTGCAGGGGTTGGAGCTGTGCTGGGCTGGATCCGGGGAGCAGTTCGGGTTTTATCCTCCCCTGCCCAGGGGTGTGCCCCTTCCAGAACGCTCTCTCCCCACGCAACCCTCCTGGAGCCATCGCCTATTTTTGAGAAGCTGATTATCCCCCAGCCAAAATAGCAGCGCCTGCTTTCGGGGCCGAGTCACACGCCGCAAATAGGGACCTGCAGTCACCGCCGGGAGCTCAGGTTTCTGCAGAGCCACCGTGATGCAGCAGCACCCACAGGACACCCAGCCGGGGGGGGGGTGACCAAAGCCCTCCCCGCAGCCCCCCACACTGGGGGCTCGGCAGGGCGCAGGTTACGCTGTGCCAGAAACGTGTCACTTTGGCCACCACGGGGACATGGAATAGCAAAAGTTGGAAGGGATCCTAAAGATCATCGAGTTCCAACCCCCCTGCCCTGGGCAGGGACACCTCCCACCAGCCCAGGTTGCTCCAAGCCCCATCCAGCCTGGCTGGGATCCCACCCTGCCCCATCCACCCTCCAGGGATGGGGCAGCCACAGCTTCTCTGGGCAACCTCTTCCAGCGCCTCCCCACCCTCCCAGCACAGAATTTCTTCCTAATATCGAACCTAAATCTCCCCTCTTCCAGTTTAAAACCATCACCCCTTGTCCTGACAGTCCCAGCCCTAAAGCAACGTGCTCTGTGTCACCCGCTGCCAGACGCCTCTCGCACTTTCTAGTCCCCCCCCCAGCCCTAGGGGCCGCCTGCCGTCCTGTCCCAGCCCCCTTTGGCACCCCCTGGGGTGGTTTTTGGTCTCATCTGGAGGACACCCCCCCTCCCCGGGCAGCTGAGGGTCCTGCAAATGGGGTGGGGGGGGCAGAGGGGCTCTCCTGCCTTGCAGGTGTGGGGGGACGGGACACGGGGGAGCCAGGGCGGGGGGGAAGGCAGGGAGGAGAGGAGCCCAGCCCTGTGCACTGCCTGGGAAGTAGAAAGGCCACAGATTTTTGGCAGAGGCGGCTCAGGCATCCCGCTCGGGGGCTGAGGTGATGCTGCTAATTATAAGCCAGGGGAGCAGAGCTGCAGGACTAAGGGTGAAGGTATGTTGAGAAGGAGCCCTTGTCGTCCGTGCTCTGCGTCTCCTTCTGCCCCACCAACACCACCTTCCTGCCCACCACCTTCACCGACAGCTGCTCGGGAGTGAAGTCCTTCACGTCCTGGCAGACGGAGAAACCTTCCCCGGAGCTTTGGGTCAGGGCCGCGCTGGTGCTCGGGGCTCTCTCGGAGGTGATCCCCATCCGGCTGGAGCTGCTCCCACTGGTGAGGAACTGCTCGAAGCTGCTCATGAACTCCCGTGCCCTCTCCATCTCCAGCCTCAGCTCTCGCTCCAGCTCGGCGAAGAGGGTGCCTGGATGTGGCCAGAGGGTGCGGACGGGTCCCAGCCACGGGAATAGGGAGCTGGAGGTGGGAGGCATGAAGTGCAGGCGGCAAAGCATCTCTGTGTGCTCCTGGAGTGTGCTCCCGGTGTGTGCGTGTGCTCCCGGTGTGTGCTCCCGGTGTGTGCGTGTGCTCCCGGTGCTTCTGCGGCTCCGCTGGGTGCAGGGGTTGGAGCTGTGCTGGGCTGGATCCGGGGAGCAGTTCGGGTTTTATCCTCCCCTGCCCAGGGGTGTGCCCCTTCCAGAACGCTCTCTCCCCACGCAACCCTCCTGGAGCCATCGCCTATTTTTGAGAAGCTGATTATCCCCCAGCCAAAATAGCAGCGCCTGCTTTCGGGGCCGAGTCACACGCCGCAAATAGGGACCTGCAGTCACCGCCGGGAGCTCAGGTTTCTGCAGAGCCACCGTGATGCAGCAGCACCCACAGGACACCCAGCCGGGGGGGGGGTGACCAAAGCCCTCCCCGCAGCCCCCCACACTGGGGGCTCGGCAGGGCGCAGGTTACGCTGTGCCAGAAACGTGTCACTTTGGCCACCACGGGGACATGGAATAGCAAAAGTTGGAAGGGATCCTAAAGATCATCGAGTTCCAACCCCCCTGCCCTGGGCAGGGACACCTCCCACCAGCCCAGGTTGCTCCAAGCCCCATCCAGCCTGGCTGGGATCCCACCCTGCCCCATCCACCCTCCAGGGATGGGGCAGCCACAGCTTCTCTGGGCAACCTCTTCCAGCGCCTCCCCACCCTCCCAGCACAGAATTTCTTCCTAATATCGAACCTAAATCTCCCCTCTTCCAGTTTAAAACCATCACCCCTTGTCCTGACAGTCCCAGCCCTAAAGCAACGTGCTCTGTGTCACCCGCTGCCAGACGCCTCTCGCACTTTCTAGTCCCCCCCCCAGCCCTAGGGGCCGCCTGCCGTCCTGTCCCAGCCCCCTTTGGCACCCCCTGGGGTGGTTTTTGGTCTCATCTGGAGGACACCCCCCCTCCCCGGGCAGCTGAGGGTCCTGCAAATGGGGTGGGGGGGGCAGAGGGGCTCTCCTGCCTTGCAGGTGTGGGGGGACGGGACACGGGGGAGCCAGGGCGGGGGGGAAGGCAGGGAGGAGAGGAGCCCAGCCCTGTGCACTGCCTGGGAAGTAGAAAGGCCACAGATTTTTGGCAGAGGCGGCTCAGGCATCCCGCTCGGGGGCTGAGGTGATGCTGCTAATTATAAGCCAGGGGAGCAGAGCTGCAGGACTAAGGGTGAAGGTATGTTGGGTGCGACGTCAGCGGCGCCTCGCCTCACGGGTGAGTAATAAGAATGCGCTGGAACGGGCTGGAAAGAGCTGAACTCTTCTCCCGGGGATGACGTGATGTTCGGGACGAAGCCACTCCTCCCGGGAAGGGGAATAAAAGCCACGGGCGGCAGCAGCGGGACAGATCGCTCCGAGTAGAGAACGGAGAGAAAAGAGCAGCAGCAGCAGCAGCAGCAGCAGCAGCAGCAGCAGCAAAGATGCTTTGCCGGATGCACCTCGCACCCTTCGCCTCCAGCTCCCTGGCCACCCGTCTGGGCACGGTGAGGACCCTCTGGCCTCACGCAGAGACCATCTTCACCGAGCTGCAGCAGGAGATGGAGAAAGCTCGGGAGTTCATGAGCAGCTTCGAGCAGCTCCTGACCAGCCAAGGAGCCACCGCCATGGAGCAAGCCCCGAACACCAGCGCGGCCCTGACCCAAAGCTCCGGAGAAGGCTTCTCCATCTGCCAGGACGTGAAGAACTTCACTCCCGAGCAGCTGTCGGTGAAGGTGGTGGGCAGGAAGGTGGTGCTGGTGGGGCAGAAGGAGACGCAGAACGTGGATGACAAGGGCTCCTTCTCCTACAAGTACGAGGTGCTGAAGAGGGAGTGGGACGTGCCCGAGGAGGTGGACGCCGAGGCTCTGACGTGCTCCCTGTCCAAGGAGGGGCAGCTGCGCATCGAAGCCCCCCGGCTGGCCCTGCCGGCCGCCCCCGAGAGGAACGTGCCCATCCAGGTCAGCTCTGCAGCCCCCGAGGACGCAGCCACCAAGAAAGCCTGAGTGCAACGGGAAGGAAACCGAAGACCTGCGGCAGGACCGGAGCAGACAGCAGCACGTCTCGGGATGTAGCCCAGACAAGCTCCATCAGCAATGATGTCATTTTTTTGTTTTTCAATATACTGGAATGGTTTTGTATCCAATAAAAATACTTTTGCATAGATCTCGCTTGCGTTCTCTTGGTGTTGATTGAAGGGAAGGCTGGGCTGGATGCACAGGGAGGGAAGAACCTCTCTTGGTGCCCCAGGGCAGCAGAGAACCAGGCCCCCAGAGGGAGGGGAGGGATCCTTGGGACATTGCTACTGTGGTTGGGTGGGATGCAGGAAGCCCCCAAGTAGGCAGGGGCAGCCCCACTCACCTGTACCAGGGCAGAGGCAGCTCTCCTGGGAGCAGGCAGGCTGCCTTCACCCCCTCCTCACGCTGCTGTCAGCAGCTCCACAGCCCCTCGTGCCCTGGCCGGTGCCAGGGAATGGGAAGAGGACCATTCCAGAGGGGCTGGCTGGGCATAGGGTGCCCCCGCTGTAGCCACACTTTCCCCCAAGCACCTGGAGAAGGGGCTGGTGGAGCCCACTCTGGGCTGCCAGGAGCAGGGAGGGTGAAGCCCATCTCCAGGTGTAGCACCATGAACACCCAGGCTCAGGCCCGGGCAGGCAGCTGGCACACCTACCTGTTTGTGCCAAAGCTGCTCTGAGCTCAGCCTGCCCTTCCCCACGGCAGGACGGTGCCAGCAGCAAGGAGGTTCTGCTCCAGGGATCTCTGCCACACGCCAGGCAGCTGGTCCTCAGCCCCAACGCCAAGTCCTCACAGCTGAGGGGCAAAGGCAGCAGCAGGACAGTCCTTGGGGCACCAAAGGTCTCCTCCTCCTCACAGGAGACCCAGAAATGAAGCCCTGTCAACCAGGAACCAAGTACCAGAAGCCAGCAGATGGCAACAGCACCTCGTGCTGTGGGCACAAGACTGTTCCTCTCCAAGAGGTCCATCTCTCACCACCTGGGAAACACACAGCTTGGGGCCAAGCCACAGTAGAGGTGACAAGACCTTGGATGTCCTGCAGAGTCCTGAACTCCTCAGGCAGGTGAGTGAAGCCTGTTTGAGGCCACTTGGAGTCCACACACTGCAGGCAGCCAGGACTCCAGGGAGCAGGAACTCACCCCAGACCCTTCTTGCTTCAAGGATTTTAAGGAAATCCAGCAGGAGTTAAAGAGACCAAGGCCTCAGGCAGAGGATGAAGCCCACACAAGCCAAGGCTGTTCACACAGACATCTTTATTGGCAGGTACCCAGCAGAGCTGGGTGTCACCAGCCTGGTGACACCGTGGCTGAGCTCCAGCTGGGGGGGGAGGCAGGGGGTTCACACACACCCCCATCTCCAGCCCCCCCCCGGCAGGCACAGCACCAGAGCTGTGAGGAGCTGCCCTTTTCCACACCGACTCCAGGAGTGAGGATGAAATTCCAGGAGAGCAGCACCTTCCCCACCCACCTCCTGGTCATTCACACCAGAGCACACCCTTCCTAAAAGCCTGACCCCTTTTCACGCTGCTCCCCCCACCTTGAGCTGCAGACACTTTCCCTAGAGCTATTAGACAATTCAAAACACCCACTATTTACCTCAAACTTCGTGTGCCATGACAGCTCACCCAGCCCCTGCAGCCAGACCATGGGGATCTCCTGCCCCTGGAGGGAGCCCAGATGGGGCAGGGGTCTGGGGGCAGCCCCCCCCCAGTTCCTCCTGGCTGAGGCAGAAACACACCCCTATGAAGAGCTGGTCGTCACACACCCCACAAGCTGCCTCCAGCACAACTGCTGTGCTCTGTTTTGCTCCCCTTCTGGCTCGAGCTGATTAAGAAACATGAACATTGTTGATTGTGATAGGTTTATAAAAATTATTATTTTTTTTTTTTTTAATCACACAAAACTGGAGTTTGTGATGAAGACTAAGTTGACAGTTCCTCTTAAACACCAGTGTGCATGAGACATTGCATTAGGCACTAGGCAGCAGCCAACATCAGTTAGAGTCTGGCAACAGAAGCCGTTTTAATACCTCCCTTCACACTGTGTGGAATTACAGGCTTTTTGCAATACATATTGTTTCCACGGACAAGCCATCCGAGGTTTCCCCCACCCCACCTCTGTACATCAGTAAACCATGTGTATTCACACCAGAGTAGGGTTAACAACATTAGTGGCATCACAACCATCAAAAAAAAAAAAAAAAGGACAAATTTCTATACAAGATCTTTGCAAAAAGTTGCAACAGGATTAGTGCATTACGACAGAACCGGAGATAGATTAAAAAAAAAAAAAAAAAGAGAGAAGAGTTGGCATGCTAGAGTCCAACACAAATAAAGACAACAGGCAGCTCGTTGTATGTACTATATTGACAAGATACTGATTGGTTACATGAAGAAACATACAATACAAAATACAGAAGAAACCAGTTTTTGCTTCCCTCTGCCCCACCCCAGAATACTCGTTAAGTGATTTGGTCAATAAGTGGCTGAAGAGCCAAGAGTTTGTCACTCTAATGCTACAGTTTAGTGGTTGTCCTAGCCATTTTGTACTGGTATTATTAGCCTTTAGCTTTTACACACGGGTCGTTTTAAACAAGGTTGCCTGGTCTCAGTATCCCTTTGTTTCCAATAGTGAACTACAGAAGGTGGGACCCGGGCGCTGCCCCCCGGGGAGGAGGAGCTGCCGGGCAGGCACCGGGCTGCGCATCCACCACCACCAGCGAGAGGGAAGAGCAGAAGTTCATATATTAAAAAAGTGACTTAAGACTTAGAATTGAATTAGTATTTGTACAGAAAGGTGCCAGGTGGAAGAACTCCCTCCAGCCTATGATCAGAAAGGGATGGAGAAATCACAGCGGCCGCCGGCGCAGCCGCTCTACGGTAAGTGCGATTGTTAGCGTGGGTTCCAGTCACCTCCTTCCAGGGCTCCGTCGGGCCGGAGCTGCTGCTGCTCAATTGCTGCAGCACTGGCTCCTGCTGGGCTGACTGCTCTCCTGAAGGTCCACCACCCGATTCCTCCCTGCGCCACCGGGAGCGTTCTGCGGTTCATTTTTTGGCAGTTTCTTGGCTAGAAAGAGAGACGATGTCAGTGGGCTCCACCACAGAGGACAATCTCCAACATCTTCAAGCTCCAACAGGGTAAGTTTAGATTGAACATTAGGAAAGAATTTTTCACCCAAAGAGTGGTCGGGCATTGGAACAGGCTGCCCAGGGAGGGGGTGGAGTCCCCATCCCTGGCTGTGTTTAAGGGCCGTTTAGATGCAGTGCTGAGGGACATGGTGTAGGGGAGGACTTTGTAGAGTAGGGGAGATGGTTGGACTCGATGATCCCAAGGGTCTCTTCCAACCTAGACGATTCTATGATTCTATGATCTCCTCCCCAGCACGGTCCTGCTCCAGACAAGCTCTCCCCTCTTTGGGGGCCCAGGACTGGGTAGCACTGGCAGCACCAGTACAGCAAACCCCCCCACTTCTAGTCCCATCTGTCATCAATCCTGCTCCTTCCTCACCCACCCCCCCAGATAAAGGGAGAGGGAACAGGCAAAAGGAAAAAGCCAATACCCCCAGGGAGTGACCGTTCACAGAACCACAGCAAACTGGTCACAGACACTGATGGGAGCTCCCAGGGTTCCCAGGGGGCTGCTGGTGCCCAGAGTGACTCCAGCCACCCCCTCTCCACACAGGCTGTTACCTATTGCCATGAAGATTTCATTCACATTCATCGCTGTCTTCGCCGACGTCTCCATGAACAGCAAGCTGTTGTCATCTGCGTACGTTTGTGCATCCTACAAACGAGGACATCAGAGCAGTGAGAGCACCCTGCCAAAGGGAGGGCCCAGCAGCCTGCAAATGCTTCACTCCCTGGACAACTAAACACCAAAAACACCCTGTCCCACCCCAGACCAGACATTTCCCCCTGTCCATGCCTGGGGACGTGACCCCTGCCAGCGCTGCAGGGCTGGTGTCCCAGTAGACACAGTGTGTCCCCAGCAGCACACCACCATGCACTTTGGTGGGCTGGGAGAGCAGTGCACGCTGTCAGTGTGGCACCAGCAACCCTGGGCAGAGCTCTGAGATAAGGGCACCTCCTCCACAGCCTGCCTGAGATGAGGCAAGAGCTGCAAAAGCAGAGAACAAGCTGGGAATGATCCTTGACATGTACTATATCTAGAAGGTGCTGTTTTGGATGCTGCTGAAAGCAGCCCCAGACAAGACCAGAGACAGAAGCTTGTGTTCTGTGGGCCTTATTTCCCCACATTCATCATAATTACCACCAACGAGAGCTACAAGTGCTATGGAAGGAGACCATGGGAAAGGCAATTCCCTCCACGAGGCATCCCAGGGTCCTCGGCAGCAGAAACCTTGACTTCCACTCCCCCCTCACAGAACCACCCTCCCCAAAGCCAAAAAAGCTGCTTTCGGACCCACTCAGGTACAAACTGCTCTGGATTCCCACTCACCTGGAAGTCCACAGCTCTCTTGGTAGCAAGGTCTGCCTTGTTTCCTGCTAGTGCAATTACAATATTGGGGCTAGCCTGCCTCTGCAACTCTTTCACCCAGTTCTTGGCTCGTACAAATGTGTCCTGGAAGCAAACAGGAGGCAGCAGTCAGGAAGGGCAGCCCCTTATTAATCCCCACTGAAGATATGATTAGAGCAAGTCTTTTTCCTGTAAGCAGCGTTCTGCCTCTGCAGCACTTTGGAGCAGGATCCTTTATCAGCCCAGCCAGCCTCGTGCAGGAGCCAGGAAGAAACTTAACAGTTTTCAGGAGATTCTGCTCCTCAGCTCTCCCAGGGCACCGAGGGGAAGCAGCAGCCACCCCCCCCGACCTCAAAGACCCTGGGTCCCCAGGGTACTCACTGTGTTGGTGATGTCGTAGACAACGATGGCTGCCTGGGCCCCCCGGTAATACATGGGGGCCAGGCTGTGGTACCGCTCCTGGCCCGCTGTATCCCAGATTTCAAACTTCACCGTTGTGTCATCCAGGCAGACCGTCTGTGTCAGGAAGGCAGCTGGAAGAGAAGGTGTGTGTTTGCCTTCCCTCTGGCCACACAGCCCCTGCAGCAAGTGCCAGGAGCTCCAGACAGTCCTGCTTTTGTCTGGGGGCCAGCAGAAGCCCCTGACAGAGGCTGGCATGGTGCTACTTGCTGGGGGAGTCCCAGCTCCACTGTGCCATCCAGCTCCTTGCACACAGGAACCCAAGAGCCACAGCACTTGGCCAGCAGGAAGGTGGCCATGAGAGCCCAGGCAGCAGATGGCCACCAGAGCAGCCAGTCCCTTGCCCAAGTGGTCTCCTCTCCCTGCGTCACCGGGATCAGCTTTGGGGGGGGGGGAGCACCCCAGTGCCAACACGCTGAACTCAGCCCCGTTACACTGCACTCCCCAGTTCAGCAACTGGTTATTTTCTTGTTCCAGCAGGTACAAAACCCACACATTACACCTGGGATAAAGGCAACCAGCCTCAGGTACACCCTCAAGCAGAACAGCAGAGCCCACACAGCCCTCCACAGCACAAAATTAGGCCCCACTTGCCCATCAGCGGTAATTAGAGCTCTACTAGCTCCCCACACAGGTTACTATGGGGACAAATCAAGCTTTTTTTCCTCAGTACACACCTCACACTGCTGCCCAGAGACCCGGGTGCCAACTGACCTTTGATTGGTGACACCACACTAATGACTTCAAGCTAAAGAACTACTAGATCTGAAAGAGCCGTGGAAGTAGTTAACAGTATCGGGCTAGAAACAACCCCAAAATCCCAGGTCCTGGTCTGAAAAGATAATTAAGGGCTATAAACCAAGCTGAAGGCCTCAGTTCTAATTAGAAGGAGGAATTCAAGCACTGGAAGTGACAACGCCTTGGAGGCAGCGCGCACGGTTGCCATAGCATCATCCTCTGCTGCACTGATCTTCACACCAACAAACAAGTGGTAATCCAAGAGGCAAGGCAGTAGCTGCTTGGCTAGTTATAGCAAGAACCCCAGACCAGCCTGAAATCACCATTATTGCTTCCATTACCCCCAGACTGCGTAAGCGAGGTGGCATCTTCCAGCCACGGGCCTCTGGAGTTGGCACTCACCTCCAAGGAGTTGGCACTCACCTCCAAGGAGTTGGCACTCACCTCCAAGGAGTTGGCACTCACCTCCAAGGAGTTGGCACTCACCTCCAATGGTGCTCTCCTGGTACTCATGGAACTGCCCCTTCACGAAGCGCAGGACGAGGCTGGACTTCCCCACCGCTGACTCTCCCAAAAGGACAAGTTTAAACTGGCAAATTTTGTTTCCAGCAGCTGGTCCATTCGGTCGAGCAGCTCCACCTCGACCTGCCATGGTGGCCTAAGTGCAGGAGAGTTAAGGATGCTGTAGGTTCTGCACCGGGATCCACCTGGAGGCAGGTTGCAACTGGAAGAGGAGGTGAGAGTTAGTGACAGGCTCCTGGACCAGCCGTACCAGTTCTGGAGGGTGGGTTTGATCTGCAGCCACCATCAGCACAAGCAGGTGGTGACTCCTTCCCACGGTGGAAAGTTATCCCCTACATCCACCACAGCACATCAGGCAGGTTCTGTCCATCACCAGCTCCTTCAGCAAGATTTTGAGTCTCCTGAGCCCCCCCAGAGAAAGGGTAATGATGACACAAGCCTTCCTCCCCACCAGTGGGCCCTCCAGCACTCCCACTATGCGTGGACATTGCACACACCTCGCTAGGGTGAGGCAGGGAAAGAACAGCCAGCACCCCAACTGGTGTTATTAGAGCTTCTTCGTCTGTTAAAACAACAATTCCACAGTTCATGGAGGTAACTGAGGTTGACCTTTAGCTCCTTCCTCCTCCCAGAGTTCACAAGGCAGCAGCTCGGGACTATCAAGGCTGTACAGAGATGTGCAAGTGCCACACGTAAGCCCTTACGGGAAGCGGTTCCGTGTCGGTCCCTCAGGTCACAAGGCACCTGGACAAAGGGCCCTTGTACTGCTACACACACAGCCAGCACTGGGGGGGCACCCACAGCAGCCCCAATCTATGCAGAGACCCCCAGCAGCTCCTCCCACCCAACAAGGGGCTCCACAGCTCAGTCCAAACACAAGAGGCACCACCAAATGCTTCCCACACCCCATCCCAGCTGCCTTATTCCCCTTATCCCACATTATTCCAGGCCACCAGCCACATTTTTCACAAGCAAGCCCTTCAGATCCAGCCTCATCGAGCAGCACAAAGAGGCAGCAGAACTGTCACCCCATGGCCCCAGAGCTCTCGAGCTGTGCAGAAGCCCATCACCAGGTGGTCAAGAAAGCCAACGGCATTCTGGCTTGTATTAGAAATAGTGACCAGCAGAAGTAGGGAGGTGATTGTGCCCCTGTGCTCAGCACTGGGGAGGCCACACCTCGAGTATTGTGTCCAGTTTTGGGCACCTCAATCCAAGAGAGATCTGGAGGTGCTGGAGCGAGTGCAGAGGAGGGCAACGAAACTAGTGAAGGGCCTAGAAGACAAATCATATGAAGAGCGGCTGAAGGAGCTGGGGCTGTTTAGTGTGAGGAAGAGGAGGCTGAGGGGAGACCTCATCACCCTCTACAACTACGTGAAAGGACACTGTAGAGAGGTTGGTGCTGGTCTCTTCTCACAGGTAACTAACAATAGAACGAGAGGGAACGGCTTCAAACTCCGACAGGGTGGGTTTAGATTGAACATTAGGAAGGAATTTTTCACCCAAAGAGTGGTCGGGCATTGGAACAGGCTGCCCAGGGAGGGGGTGGAGTCCCCACCCCTGGCTGTGTTTAAGGGCTGTTTAGATGCAGTGCTGAGGGACATGGTGTAGGGGAGGACTTTGTAGAGTAGGGGAGATGGTTGGACTCGATGATCCCAAGGGTCTCTTCCAACCTCAATGATTCTATGATTCTATGAACCACGGTGAGAGCAGCAGGACAAGCCATCTGACATCCATCACCAGCCACCAGGGAAGTCTTGGTGCCTCCCTCCCCACTTCTCAGCTGCGCACAGGGAACGGGAGTGCTTTCAGTTACACAGATTTAGGCATATTTCCTGTTCTCATCACGACTCCCACTTCCTGTCAATGAGAAATGCTACAACTGAGCGCATCTGCTCTGTATCACCACTTTCCCTGCACAACCCAAGCTCCTTGTTGGCAGGGACAACTGCCAAAAAAAAGTATTAAATATATAAATCCCCCAAAAGCCAATTTCTCCTTGTTCCCAGCGTACCCCCAAGGAAAGCCTGGATATGCTCAGAGCACACCCAGCAAATACCAGATTCCTGTGAATAAGCAGCTTAAAGCAAGTTAAACTGGGCCTGAACTGGAGCAGCACGTGCAGCGAACGAGGCTCAGCACTGAGGTTCACCAAAGGGGAGTCTCAAACTCCAGCTTTCCAGAGGAAAGCAAAGTTTATGTGCTGTGAGGAGACTTTGACTATGGCTCAAGTTTCACTCAATTCCACAGTTCGATAGGAAACCTCCAGCCCTTTCAGCCTGAGAGCTCGTCCCAAGGGGCAGCCCATCATGTCAGGGCTGGAGAACCTTCCAGCTCTCCAAACACAACAGTGCTTGAGCACATCCTGACTGACAGATGTTCAGCTCAAATTGTTGTGGCCAGGGGGCAAGTCAGAACCTCCTGTGAGGTAAGTGCTGCTCACTGAAGCCAGGAGGTGGAGAAGAACCCGAGAGGAATAGCTTCAGCACAGGGAGATGTTCCTGCAGCCTGGACTGTGCAGAAGCCCTTCATCCAAGGAGCCCATCCAGCCTTGGGTTCAGTCAGTGGAGAAGCTGCAATTCAGAGCCAGGTCCTCGCAAAGGCCAGTGACAGAGTCAGGACCCCCAGAGCCTCTCCCCGAGGAAGGACACTGGCTGTTTGGACAGGATGAGAAGTCTGATAAGCAGCAAACCAGCAATTTGTTTTGCTGGGCAGTGAGGAAGCAGAGCTCTGTCACCCTGGCCAGGGTTACCCCCAGGTTGGAGGGGCACACCAGCAGCTCGGCACCGCTACCAGCCCGAAAAGGTTCCCACCTTTTCAAGTTTCTCCTCCAACCAGCGTTTGCAAAGGAAGGGCTTTTGTGGGTTTATCCCCATATTCATTACCCAGGGCAGTCCCTCAGCAACCCGTAAGCTCTGCCACTGTTTCAGCCTAACGTTCTGCACATTAAATGCCACGTGAATCATCCTCCGCTGAGTTATGAGCTCCTGAAACGTGATAGGGGTGATTCCCAGAGCAAAACAAGGAAATGAGCCTGTTGACATCCTCAAGTCTTAGCCTGACCTATATTTCACAGATCTCCATTCATTTTGCCATCTGGTTGTGCCACATGAACTCACACAGAATTAAGCAACCGTGTCCTGCATCCAGCTCATCCCGGAGAGCTGCTGATCAGGGCAAGCGGTCGAGCAGCTACAGCCTTTAGCCACTTTTAATTATGGAAAACCTGATCATCCTCTGAAGATGGTTTGAAGTTTGGCTGCAGGACGTCGTCATCATCACCCGAGAAGCTGCCAGACCTTCAGGGTGTCTGGTGGAGTTTATGTAGTTCTGATGACCCCAACTGCAGCCATCCTGCTTGGGGGTCTCAGGCTAAGAACCGACACGAGATCCGTGACCAGCCCAGCATTGCTCCTGATGTTCACAAAAGACCAAATAATTCAAGTGAGTGACAACCAAAGCTGTAGCCAGCGAGGACTCTCCATTGCAGGAGGGTTAATTTTTGCTAATGCCAACACCTTTGAGGTTTTCTACATTCCTGCCAGGAACAGAACCCCACTGGGATTCTGGACCAGCCCACTCAGCGAGCACCACTGAGAGATCAGGGATGCTCTGGGCTGAATGAAGCCATCTCCCATGCTCAGGGGGGCTGCTCATCCCTATTTCCAGCAGAGGGTCCAGGACACACAGCCCTCCCCCCTCACATGGACGCTCCAGCCTCAGGTTAGACAGAAATAAATGACAGCAACCCCGGGCAGACAAGAGAAAGCAGCTGAAGCCACAGCTTGATGCACAAATTCAACAAGTCAAGAGCATGCGAAGGGAGGATCTGATAGGCTGCTCATGTAATCAAGATCAACAAGTATTAATTTTCCTGCTAGCTGCTTCTGACTGGTGGAACTCAGCAGCCTGGGATGGCACCAGCCCCACCAGAAGGCAGGAGCTGGTTTGTTTGCTGGCCCTGCCCGTCTCCTGCCCACTGAAGCGCACGCGGGAGCTCTGCGTCACGCAGGAAAAAGCACCCGGGATTTTATTGTGAGCTCCTGGAACAGCCTCTCCTTTGCTTTGAGACCAAAAAGACAAGTCTCAGTGCCGGATGCTGCCCAACAGCCAAGCACTCCAGGTCTGTCATTTCTGCACTTTGTGCTCCTCCCAAACCGTGCCTGATCCCCAGGATTTCCTGCAGGGGCTTGCACACTCCCATGGATATTGAATTCAGGAATTTGAGTGCCCTATAGAAGAAAGCACACGCCAGCACTGCTGCATTCCCAGCCCACCCGGGGGAAGACAGGTCTCCAGAGCTGGCAGGATGCTCGAGAATAGCACGAGAGCCCATTTCAAACAAACCAGCCCAGTACAACCAGCCCAGTACAACACCCCAGTCCCCACCGAGTGATTACTGTCCGATACCCCGTTAACCCCTGCACAAGACCAGCTTTACAAGCCCCCCTGTCGCAGGGAAGCTGGTAGTTTAAGGTGCCAGAAGTTACAGAATCTGATCTTTTTGCCCTGTGCTCACCCAGCAGCGAGGACCACTCCAAAAGCTGGTGGCATTTAGAAACCCAACCCTGACGAGTCTCGTTACCCAAGAGCGCCGCTTCTGCTCCCAGCTATGCAAGAGGCCATTTCACCGGGGATTTGTTGGCTTCGAATCAAAATACTCAAGACAAAAGCCCCAGTGAAGTATTTATCTTGTTAAATAGCTGACAGCGTTACATGAATTTCTTGGCAAAGCCATCCCTGAAGTTACGGAGAGGTTTTGCTTCACCTAACGCCGAATGGGCAGCGAGCCACCACCAGCAGGAAGCTTCCCTACCTCCCTCCCACCCAGGGCCAGCAAAAAAGCCCTCGGACCCAGAGCCACCAACAGCAAGTGCAGGACCCACCACAGCACCACACAGAACCCCCCAGCACAGAGCAGCAGAGCCTGGAGCCTCAACCCGATCTCCCAACACACTCACATGATTAATAACAACAAACTCCAAAGGCTCTACTGCAGCAGGGCCCACGTCGCCGAGGAAGGAATAACAGACCCAGCTCCCACCCACAAGATGAACCCAAAAGTACAGACCCCAGTCCCTCAGCCCCATAAAGTGTCATCAATTTTAATACTTCATCTTTCTACAGACAACACGCACTTCCCTCCACAAACAAAGAACGCTCAGTCTCTGGATCAGTCAGGCTGTAACCTGGAGCTCAAG